GAGGACAACGAGTCGGCGGTTGTGGTGAACAGCAGCCGAAGAGCCGACAGAAACCCATTGATTCAGTCGACCGTATCGTTCAGTCGTCTCAAGAAACGGAAAGTGGTTTCGGAGGACAAGGAAGACGGCAACGACTCGGACGACGACTCGTTTCGAGTCACCTATCGGTCCAACAAAAGCGGCCAAAGAGAGGGTCCCTCAGACATGGGCGCGACGTCTGTGATCCAGACGGAGACCGACAAAGCGATGGACGCGCAGAGCATCTTCGAGAGGGCGCAGGAAGTGAACGAAACACTGAAAGGCAAAGAAGACGACCACATCTACAGAGGACTCAATAATTACGTTCAATACAAGTCCAAGAAAGACACGCCTCAGGGGAACGCCTCGTCCGGACACGTCCGCAACGGTCCCGTCCGCGCGCCCGAAAACATCCGGTCGACCGTCCGGTGGGACTATCAGCCGGACCTCTGCAAGGACTACAAGGAGACGGGCTTTTGCGGGTTCGGCGACTCCTGTATATTCCTTCACGACAGGTCTGACTACAAGTCCGGCTGGCAGTTGGAAATGGATGCCCAGCACAAGGATCACGACGACGACGACCCCAACAAGTATGTCATCGAAGAGGACGACGACCTGCCCTTCAAGTGCTTGATATGTCGCCAGAGTTTCGACACTCCGGTGGTCACCAAATGTAAGCATTACTTCTGCGAGAAGTGTGCTCTCAATCACTTCAAGAAGTCCAGCCGTTGCTATGTCTGCAGCCAACAGACCAATGGTGTCTTCAACACCGCTAAAGATATCATCAAAAAGTTTAATCTCCAAAAGACCACTTCAGACATACCTCCGGAAACCGATGATCACAAGAGTGAGGAACAGTCGCACGACTCGGAAGACCTGTCAGACTCGGAGTGAAAACACATTTTGTGTTAACATTGCATTCAATTGTATTATAATTTTTAATTAAATTAAAATAAACATAAAATGATATGTTTTTTAGTTAATTTTAAATTACAATAAGTTTTACATTTCATTAAAACCAATGAATGAATGACTCGACAGATGGCGAGTGAGAGGAAGGCATGCATTGACTGATTGAATGCATAAACAAAACACTGTTTTTGAACATCAAGTGAATCGGTCGACCGGTCGGTGAAGTGTTGCGAACTCACCAGACAGCACAATAGCAGCCCAGTTGGTTACCTACCATAAGAGCTCTGTTACCAGATATATACTGCGGTTTACCGTCCTGCACAAACTAAGCCGTCTTGAGCACCGGGCTGTAGAAGTGCCCCGCCACAAACCCATCTACGATCCGGACCAGGACTTCGGCGACCACGTGGTCGTCATAAACGCCAAACACGTGGCGATGCCGGGCGACGAGTGGCGGTACCGGTACTACTATCACCACACCAACTATGCCCGGGGCAAACACTGGGCCCCCGCCCACATCCTCCACAACAAAGACCCCACTCTTGTCTTATATAAAGCCATATATAAAGCCGTCGGAAATATTAGACTCAAACGACAGGAAATGATCGCTCGCTTACATATGTATCCCGAAGAGGCGGTTCCCAAACATATCCTTCAGAATGTTTCGGATCAGATCAGACAACTCCGACCCCTTTCCAAACGCGTCGATGAGTTCACCGAAGAAGAGGTGAAAGAGTTCCCTAAGATTTTCGATTATCCCGAAGACTATGCCATCAAATAATCACTTTTTTGTATCATTTAAATAATTCTCAAATAGTAGATCTAGTTTTAAAATTACTGTAGATTTAAATCATTAATAAATAATAAATAACTTACAATTAATTTTATGAATGCATTGAACTTTATTTTCGGTTTTAAATGATCGCACTTGAAGTACAAGTGTTGCAACCATTCATAGGGATACCTATTGTTTAGTGATTGTACACAATATTTCAAATGTGTAGTCATTTTGACAATTTATTGATTGAATTTACAATTTATAAAAAATAATTAAATTACGAGTTTTATAATGAAATGTAGACATCATATGAATGGAGTTGTGTTCACATCTGTAGTCTTCTTGTGTCCACTTTATCGAGAATAACGAGTGGTTTAAGAGAGTCGGCAAAGAGTTTCATCTCATCAGCGATGCCCTCCTGACCGGTGGGTGCGTTGACACTGAGCTCAACCAGATATGATTGGGAGAGGGGTTCGAGTGCTTCGGGGGAGGCGTTGGGCTGAACCCGAAACAGTTTGGCGACAATCACTTTCATGCGTCCCTTACGGAACATATAGCCCTTGAGGACGAACTCGTAGTCCAATTTGAAACCCATTTCCTGGAGGAACGACACGCAGTCCGAAGAAGTGCTGCAATCGATGCAATTGCGGACAATTGTGGCCCTATTCTTGTCGCCCAACTCCTGTTGACCCAAATATCGCAAATGGTATGGATTTTGGAGGACATCCATGGACTTGCGCACGCGGAGGGAGGTGTTGGACCCGTTGGGCGCCCGTATGGTGAACACCATCTCGTGGTCTTGAAATGTCTCCGGACTTGAGTCACAATTGTCGCAAAAACCCCGCAATTTGTGCAGAAGTTGCTCACAAGAGTCGTCTAAAATGCTGCCCTGAAGTAAGTACTCCTGTTGTGCCACCACTGCACCCACCCGTCGACCCATACCTCCCATTCCCATCGACACGGAATCCATGTCGAGGACGATGTCTTCGGCGTTCACCACAAATACGATGAAATGTCACCAAAGGTTTGGTTCAAGACTTTTGTTTGGCTTTTAAATTCAAATACTTATCCAAACATTACGTCTGTAGTGATGCTGTGTTTGTGCAGTATTTCAATGAAATCACATCTTTTTATTTTAATAGATTTCAATTAAGACTTAAAACTTGTTTATAAATTAATTACATTTTAATTATAAAAGAGCTTATAATTAACCAAAAGAGCATTTAATCTATAAAATGAAAAACAAAAACAAAACTCAAATAATAAATCCAGTGATCGATTGGGCGAGCAATCAGTGGCGAGAAATAATTCACTAAATCCGATAAAATCATATCTAATTAAATATCAAACATTACGTACATTTGCTTTTAATTTACAGTTAAAATCTGAGCAAAACGTATCAAATATGGATCACAGTCCATACATTTAACAATTCTTGCAATTTATCAAAAATTATCTCAAGTTTTGTACGATTTTTGAGTTCATATTTCCATTTAAAACTAATTAAAAGATATATATTAGGTATAAATCATGATAACCCTAATCATAATATATTTATATAATAAATAATAAGTGCTTATAATAACTGCCAATTAAATGCCGCCAAATTGCTCGATGTCTCCAATGCGTGCGCTATTTGCTCGGGTATGCCGTGTCTTAACCAAAGTCTATGCAGCTCTGCGTACGACGTGTGACACAGATGTAAGGGATAGCCGCGAATCAATCCCTGATCAGTTTCGCCGTATTCGTCCACATATGGCGGCGCCGAATAGCAACCTATCGGTCCACACATTCGTTAATACAATAATTGCATTCATTGAGACAAATGATGCAAACCTTTAGTCTTTCCGGCCAACAGCAGGATCTTGCAGTCCCTGATCCTTAGGAACATTCCCTGTCCGGCACCACAGAAGTGCGAGTGCCAGGTGCACGAGCCAACCATACTGCCCTCCAGTTCCTTTTGACAACAATAGCTGTGCGAACACAATATAGTCCCACAAATCTGTTAATGTATGAAACAGTTGTGTTAATCATATACAGTATATCAGAGTAAATGAAAGCAATTGACTGAATGCATACCAAACACATAGTGGGAGAGCGGGAGTCATCGCCCTCTGAGTTGGGACAAGTGAATTGAGACACACTATTGATGAGATCGCTGTAATCGTTGGGCAATTGCACCAAATGGTTGAGAGCGTGCGGTTGAGCTATCAGTTTGGGCTGAAACTCGATGAG